GAAGAAAGACCTGGCAATCTACTTCCAAAAAAAATCAGCCATTGAAAACCCTCTGGAGAACAATTCTTCCCGGACACACATAGGGTCGCCATGAGTTGGGGGGAACTCAATGGCAGCTGAATTGGTTTTAGAGAAGTAATGGAACCATATGGCCTCTAACATTTTGTGAATCCACGGATATGGTGCATACCTACAAATCCACCCACCCCATTGCCCATATCATCCCCTCTATTCAGTCTCAGTCCTTCACTTCCCTGAGACATCCAAGTCAGCCACGATGACATCTCCCAAAGCTTGTTTGGGGAAGATGTTTCTTTCCCACACTCCCCACTGATCCCAGCATGAAAGCCACCAAAGTGCATGTTCCTAAAAAATTGTACTTTCTGAACTTATCTGAGGAGCTCTTAGCCAGGCAGCTTCCTCCTACATCCTTGGCATTGTCTAACTTAAGCCCTCCTCTTAACCCAAAGAATAGTTTCAGCAATTTATTGCTGCAATTAATTTCTGAAAGTTTCAACAGACTTAGAAAGGGTTCTCAAATTGGCCTTGACAAATGTACATTAGCCGCTTGGATCATACGTTGCTCCTTTGGACTCTCCCAGAATTAATCATGAGGACATAAAATCCTAATGATTTGCTTTTGTATATGATAAAACCCTTAGACACAATAAATATTGTGATTGAGGCCAAGTTTTATCCAATTTTGTCCAAAGTCTATTTCCCTAATTACAGAACATTACACTGATGGTCTATTTCTGAAAGTGGTGATTTGCATGATCATATTTCATAGATAAAGTGGATAGCATAGATAAGTGTTTAACACAAATTGGATGGTAGCTAAGTGAAAAACAGATATTTTATTTAATCCTGACAATCCAAGTGCCTTGGTTAGCTAGGGATATTGTAACACAAATACCACAGATGGGTTGCTTTAAAACACGGGAAATTATTTTCTCACAGTTCTGGAGGCTAAAAGTTGAAATCAGGGTCTCAGCTATGTCAGCCTTACAGGTTAGTCTGGGCCCTCCTTGGTTGCTTGGTTTGTCGGCTTTTCTTACATGGTATTTGTCTCCCTGATCCTGTGTTCCTGCCTGCATCTATTCTGCTGTTTTTTATAACTCAGAAGTGACTAGGTTTAGGACACACCCTACACTGGTATGGCCTCATTAACCTAAAAAGGAAAAACCCTATTTCCAAACAGGATCACATCCACAGGTAGGTTAGGATTCCAACACGTATTTTGGAGTAATATAATTCAATTCCTAACACCAAGGAACTAGATTTCATTAACCACATTTTACAGACATGAAAACTAAAGCCCAGAACATTTAAATAACTTGCCCAAGGTCCCTCAGGAAGTAGAAAAGGTGGGATTAGAACTCAGTTTGAATGGCTTCCAAGATCCCATTTCATACCACTTATTGTGCCATTGTGGAGGGTCAGCAAAAAACAGGAAGACTCTCAGTGAGATGGGTTGACACAGTGGCTGCAACAATAGGCTCAAGCATAACAATGACTGTGAGGATGGTGCAGGACTGGGCAGTGTTTCGTTCTGTTGTACGTAGGGTCACTATGAGTCAGAATTGCTCAACGGCACCTAACAACAATTGTGCCATTGTCCCTCAATCAAGAAACAAATTCTTGGACCCTACATATCTTCTTTTCCAACCTTTCATGTCACAGATGAGGATACCAAAGATCAGAGAGGCCAAACAATTTGCATTGTCACTCAGCTCATTAGTAATAGCACCAAAACTAGGCCAGTGGCAGTGGTAAACGTTTAACAGCAGGATCTCTGAAAATAGTCAGACAAGGCCCATCAGATTTCAAAAGTGCACTGTGCTCACCTCACTTCATTACCTTCCAAGAAGCAGTAACTTTTGCAGCAGAGGTGAGAGCTGTCTTGTCTAAGACTGAAGAGCAACAAAGGACTGTTGCTGGACAAGTGGCGCTAATTACACATATGACCACCAGGGGGCGAGCATGTAACCGCCTCCAAGTGAAAACTGTTTTCATTGAATTTTCAAGATGGGAAAGATTTTGGAATCCAACAGGTTGTGTCCTCTTGTTTGACAGAGAACTTTTCATAGCACTTGGAAATATCTATGTGCTTCATTAGGAGGGAAAATTGCCATTTTCCCTCTACTTTTCTATTACATATTAACATGTTACATAATTACATAATAACAGTAGTAACAGTATGTATGTATTGGGAGTCATGTTCTTGAAGTGCATTAACTCATTAATTCCACACATGAGTTCCCATGAAGTACGTACGGATAGTCATTCCCCACTTTTCCGAGTGAGGAAACTTCTTCATTCCTCAATCCATTTGCGTTCTTTATAAACATTTATTGAGAGCTGCTGTGCTCCTACAAGGAGCCCTGGTGGCTCAATTGTTAAGCACTCAGTTGCTGACTGAAAGGTGGGCAGGTTGAACCCACTAAGCGGCTCTGCAAGAGAAAGGCATGGTGATCTGCACCCATAAAGTTTACGGCCTAGAAAACCCTTTAGGGCAGGTCTACTCTGTCACATGGGGTTGCTCTGAGTCGAAACTGAGTCCGTGGCACCTGACAACAGGTGTGAGTAGCAGTGTCAAGATTCAAACCCAAGAAATGCAGCTCTAAATCTCACCTCTTTCCATTAAACCAAATATCTGAGTTGTTGTTACTTTACTAAACTAGCAAAAAAAAGGAAAAAAAAAAAAAAAAGCTCATTGGATTTTATCTGAATTATCATCAAAGCTGTATGACAATAGGCAAGAGACTTCACCTGTTTGAGCTAGTGTTTTCAATTCCAAGGTAAAGGTGTGGACTTGATGCCCCTAAAGTTCAATTCTGCCTCAGTTGGTAGGATTTCAGTTATCTAAGCAAGGACTAAGTGAAGCTCCAGCATAAATGATTGCTAGTGGGCATATTCCCCCACACGTCTGTCAGTTTGTTCTACCGTGGGGGCTTGCGTGTTGCTGTGATGCTGTTCCTACCCGTTTAACAAGTGTTTTGAAAGAATTAAAACAAGAAAAGGAGAATGGTAATTTGATTCAATGAAGTAATTATTTTACACCAGGAAAAGCCATTAGAATCACTTATCTACCCAGACAGACCAGTGTATGTTGTATTGTATAGTGTTGTGCTGTGTCCTGTTGTGTAGTGTTGTGCTATGCTATGTTGTGTAGTGTTGTGTTGTGTAGCATAGCAAAGCATAGTGTTGTGTAGTATTCCGTTGTTCAGTGTTGTCTTGTGTTGTGCTGCTTTGTTTTGTGTAGTATAGTGTGGTGCTGTGTTGTGTTGTGTAGCATTGTCTTATGTTGTGCTGTGTAGTGTTGTGTAGTATAGTGTTGTGGTGTGGTGTGGTGCTGTGCTGTGTTGTGTTGTGCTAGATCATTTTTGACCAGCTGGATCCTTCACCAAAGGAAGTCTTAAGAGGAGGCCCAATGGGAAGCAGACAGAAGTAGAGCCCCCCAGTGACATTGGGTGGCATCTCAGAGACCAGCTTCCAGCCCGCAAGCCCCCCACACTCCTTAGGTGTTCCCAGGGGGACCCCAAAGCGGTCTTCAGATCATTGCTGAAAACCACTAATTTGCCAATCTCACTGTTTTACAAATGAGGAAACGAGGCCCAGTGTGTAGTTACCCAGACAGCTTTCGGTTGAGGTTCATGCCTTCTGTGACAGGAGACATACGTTATCTCATTGACTCCTCCAAGAGCCTACAAAATACCACTTATTACACCACACCCATTTTTACAGATAAGTAAACACTGCTTTTTCAAGGAGGCTTTTTCTGACACCCCAGACTAACTGAAGTCTCCTGTAATATCTTCCTTTAATACGTTTTCTACTTGAAATCCTCATCAAATATTAATGTTGTGCTCAATGCTTGTCTACCCACTTAGGGATAAACCCTCTGAAGACAAGAACTCAGTCTGTTGCCTTCACCATTGTATCCCCAGAGCCTAACATGTAGGCTATCAGCAGAACAACTGTGAACTCCTTGGGAAGAAGGATCGTATCATACTTGTCTTTTTTATCCCCAGTATCTTATACTATGAGGGCAGTGGGGGTTCAGTGGTAGAATCCTTGCCTTACATGAGGGAGACCTGCATTCAATTCCTGGCCAATGCACCTTATGAACAGCCTCCACTTGTCTATCCGTGGAGACTTGTATGTTGCTATGATGCTGAACAGGTTTCAGTGGAGCTTCCAGACTAAGACAGACTAGAAAGAAAGGGCTGGTGACCTGCTTCTGAAAATCAGCCAATAAAAACCCTATATAACAGGATGGTCCCATCCTGCTGTGCATGGGTTTGCCATGAGTCGAGGGTCAACTTCATGGTAGCTAACAACTTTGTAGCTCAGAACAGCAATTCAATAATTTCGTTTGAATTGTGGAATTAAAAATATCTGCAAGTTAGCAAAATCCGTTCCAGGCGCTACTCAGTCTCTTTCTAGGCTTGGATGATCTTAAGTAATTACCTTCCTAGTTTGTCCTCAGTTTTGCCATCCATAAAATAAAGTTGAATTCTGGGGTCTACAAAGACCCTTCTGTCTTGAAAATTCTGTGATGTTGTTTCGCTCAGCTTGGCAATGTCCAGTCAAGGTTTGTGTTAGGCAGGAACTTTAATGAAATTACTGGGTAGAAAAGAATGTTAATTCTGATCAGAAAATGGTGGTTAAGAGGGGACCTCAAGGGTAACATCACATGCAATGAAATCTTCTTATGCCATTTACTAGCTGGTGACTATAGGCGAGATACTTAAATTCTCATTCCTCAGTTTCTTCATTAACACAAGGGTAGCAATCAGAGTGTTGTGAGGGTTGAATGTGATCACATAACAAAAGTACTTAGCACAGTGTGGGAGCCTAATAAGATGTCAACAAATGTTAATTGTCATTATCATCAATATTATTAAAAATGAGAATGGTTTCTATTTAAACATATGTAAAAGTAGTGCTTGATGACATTTTCCATAAATTCACTGGTATTCCTTCTTATTTCCTAGGAGACAAACTCATAAAAGGAACCAAGGTAAGAGAAATCATTAAAAATGCATTTGCTACCCACGCTTTACTTTAGAAGCATAGAAGTATGAACAACGTGAGGGCTTAAATAGCACTTTAAAAATATGTCCTAGAAATTTGGTTGGGATTTGTCATTTCTGTTTGTAAACTCTAAAATTGTTAACCATTGGCTCTGCTCCATGGACAATAAACTGAATTTCTGGTTCTCTTTCCTTTTGCAGACTCCTTTACCACCACCTCGGTAAGATGCTTAAAATGGTATTTTGCTATATATATAAATGATTTGTTGCAGCACTTGATAAAGAGAAACACAAACATTTGACACTGAAAAACTAGTGTGAGTTGGCCAATCAGCAAGATTAAACCAGCCTTCGTTTATTCATTTAATCATTCATTCTTTCAACAGTCATCTATTCAATAGAGTTCATTTGTTCTTCATTAACTAGTTCTTCATTCATTCCTTCCTGCTTCCCTCCTTTCACTCCCTTCCTTATTTTAGTATAGAAATCTATCAGATAGATTTACTATAGGCCTATATCTAGCATGAGACAGGGGCATGCCCCCAAGGGACTTATAATTGGCAGAGGGGTTACATTATCTAAATGTTGTTGTTGTTAGTTCCCTCAAGTCAGCTCCAACTCATGGTAACCTTATATATAACACAACAAACCAGAGCTTAGTCCTGAGCATCTTCACAATCGTTGGTATGTTTGACCCCATTTTTGCAGCCACCATGTCAACAACATCTAACACTTTATCTACCTTATATTTTATTGCTGCTGCCTGTTTTCTATTTGTTTTCATACCATAAGAGGGCTATCAATAACAAGTTATGAAAATTTCTATCAGAGAGCAAATTGACTTATATAAGAAAAACTAACAATAACAACAAAGATCTGAGATAATCAGGTTTGGTGTAGGATGTTAACTGAGGACTAATTTGGATGCACTTTTCAAACTGAAAAGCACAATAGGCATTTAAACCATGATACGATATTTAATTCATTTAAAAACACAAGCACGCTGCGTGCAGCGAACACATATTAACTACCTACTCTGTACAACAGGAGTTTATTGTCTGCTTCCTACATCCCTCGCTTCATTGGAGTCTCATCCCCAGAAGCACATTTTCCCAGAGGGAAAATGATTACAATAGATGCAGGCCAACCAAGAGTTTCAGCACTGAGATTTTTATGGCCCTAAAATCTATTAGAAATACCATCTTGGGGCCTGAGGTGAACAACGTTGAAACCTGTGAGGCAATCACTACCATCATGTCACCATTTCCCCCTAGCTGCTGTTTGGAGAATGCCCCTGGTTCCCACATCGCTCTCAGTCTGAGGGCCTACTCTGTCCACAGGAGCACACAGGGCAGACTAGGAGTGCCAGAGCATGGATGCCCCAGGAGCTTCCCTTGACCAATGAGGAATAAGAACCCATTGATAAATACCCCAGTTCCCTGCTCTCAGTGGACAATTCTCAGGAGTATGCTAGAGTCTTTCAGGAGGTCACCAGCAGAACTGAGCCCCAGTTGCCCTCAGAATAAATCTACCCATAATCTGCCCACTGCAGTCTCTCCTCAGAAGTGGCATGTCTTGGAGTTCTGGCAAAATGGCACTCTAGGCAGAAGCACCACGTTGTCCCTCCACAGCAAGGATCTGAAAAACTAAGCCAAACAGAGAAAACAGCAATCCTGAAACCCTAAGACATCAAATGAAGAGATAAAGAACTCAGCCAAGCACCAAATGGAGTGAGAAACTGACAGAGAACAGAGAGCAAGGAGAGATTCATGCAGAGGTCCCCTATCAGCTAACGCAGCATGGATCCACCATCTTGGACTCCTATCAGAGACCAGCAAATAAGGGGTACAAGAAAGCAGCTTCACGCAGCTTCCAGCAGGAGACAGAACAACCATATCCATTTATCATCTCTCTATACCTTCCTTCTCTTCCTGTCCCTTGAAAACCTGGCGCTGAATACCTCTACGCCTTCTAGCCAGGCTGTACTTCAACTCCTGGGAAAAACTTCCAGAGACCTCATAGCTGCACCTGTGGGATCTGTGGAAGCTTTGCTATTCTTTTTTCTGTCTAATTTTTATTTATTCATTCTTTTCTTTTCTTCTTCTCCTTTTTGTTTTTCTCCATTTCATAGTCTCTCATCTCTCCACTCCAATGGCAAGCTCCCCTAGCACTCTTTTTTGTTTGT